CGTAAAAAAAAAAAAAAAATCATCATTTCTCCCTCCCCTTCTGTCCCACCCTCTTGACCCCAGACTTACACCAACTCTTCCAAAAAAAAAAAAAGCAGCGGATCAAGCGCAATACGAGGAATAGGAAAAAAAAACAGAACACTGTGGACTTGTAGTACTATGGATTTGTTGGGGATTTGGCCCTCCCATTCATTTTCTCCGGCTCTTTAGGGGAATAAGTCTCTCCGAACCTCGGTTCGTTTATAATAAAACGTGTTAGCATAAAAAAATGAACATCAACGATGTATTTACATGTTGGTTCTAATTAAAACTTGATTGTAGTTACTAGTTATAAATACTCACTACACGATCAAGAAATAATCCAGAAAAAGAATTCAAATAATGAACAAAGGTGCGCGATACATGTGAGACGCACTTTCTATAAGAGGAAATTGCCACCGATTAATGCCCATAGTTTTCGACAAACGTTTCCAAAATCGAATGGAGTTGTTATTAAAGTTGAGATATCAATCATATTATAGAATTGTAGTAGTTATATAAATATGATATTTGCAGTTGATTTCTAAATTGCTTTTGTAATTATATTTTGCAATGTTCTCACGCATATTTCGATTTTCATATGGCTGGATACCAATTAAAACAAGAGAACACATGATTTGTTATTAAGGATAAAGATTGGTTTGTTATTAAATATAAATAGTTAAATTAATTTCTTTTGATATTTTGAAAAATTAGGTTATAGTTTTTGCATGCAAAACTGGAACGATTGAGTTCTTGATAAATCAAAGGATACTAAACTTATCTTCCCAATCATATAATTTTTTGAAGATACGATAAAAAATACTTTGACTTATGTTTAGTTATCAAATGAATAAGAAATCATCGTGGTTTGCTGTTAATGTTGATGGTTATTGTGTTTTTGTCGTTATTTTCGTGTGTTTTGTGTGCTTTATTTTATAGTCTTAGGCTCGTTTTAGTGTCGACCGGTCCATTTTATCATGTTTTGTGTATTTTTATTATTGTATAGTGCTTTCGTATTTTTGCGCGTTTTTTCCTTTGCTTTGGTGTTGAATAGGTCCAATGTGTCGAGAACGAGGAGACGAGCCGTCCGAGCCGATCGAGCCGTCCAACCCGGAAAATCCGACCAAGCCATACCGGGACAAAGAGAATCAAATGATGAGAATTTTGGTCCAAATTTCGTGCGAAAAGTTAGAGCTAAACGAAGTCGCACATGCCCGCACGCCACTGTAGCCCGCGAAACCCTTTTCACGCCCGCGAAAGAGGCCTAACCCGCGAATTCCGCCCAGCAGTGCCCGCGAAGTTCGTTTCGCGCCCGCGAAATGGCCCTAGCTCGCGAGTGCTGCGCCCAGTCCACTTTCGCGCACGCGAATCCACCCGCGAGCTCGCGAGTGCCATGCCCTGCGCCCACGCCCGTGCGCCCCGTGCTGCCAATGCCCTGCCAACTCACGACCTCGCGGAATTTAAAAAGACCTCGCGAGTTTTTGACTAAATGTGCATGTTTTTAGTGTGTTTTTGTGGTGTAGCTATATAAAGACATTGTGCTTTGTATTTTTGGACACAACCTTCATTTCCCAACTTTTAAGTTGGGAAATCCTCTCCATTTTCTCTCTTTTATTTTTTTAATGCTTTGGTTGGAGACTCATGACTTGATTTTTCCGGTGAAATTCCGGCAACTTTATTTTCGATCAAGATTCAAGTTTTACGCACTATTTTCGTCTACGCATGCGATAGGAGGGTGAGTACCTTGCTTAGGGTTAATTACTGCGAGTTTGTTTTTCGATTTTGTGTTGATGCTCGATTCTAGGTTTTCGCTCTATTTTCATTGCTTGCTTTAGTGTGTTAGGATTCAATATGTGCTTATCTAGAAAGATTTCGACTTTGCTCAAAGCGTAATGATTTAGTGTAGAAAGCTCGTGTTAGAAGACCTAGGATCACTATGCTCGCATGATTTCTCTTGTTATTTTTTTTTTCTTGAGTCATGGGGATTCTGGTAGACCAAAGTTTCGATCTTTTTCTCTATATTTTCACTTTCCATCATTTGCTCTTAGATTCGTAGTTCAAGTGCGTGCAATCATCCCCCAACCAAGCGAGTAGAATGTGTACGACCTTCTTTTCGGTTATGTGATTTTAACGACTAGGTAGTCAACGAAGCTCCGAAGAGCCATCCTTTGAGAACGACCCGAGTCGGGTAACTCGGTTACCACATGCCCAAAAATACTACAAACAGTTGACAAAAGAGATTTAATTGTAACATTGTGATAAATATCATAATAAGATTTACATAATTGATTTGTAATTTTTATTTTGTAATTATGTTTGCAATATTATCGTGCATAATCAAATAATATTTTGTAAAAATGAAATATATTTAATGAACATTTTTTGAAGACATGTTGTATGGTTGGTTACGAAAAGAATAAGAAATTGCAATGATTAGTAATTATTAAGAAAAATCGATTTTTATTACGATAATTATCGCAAAATAATTTTTACAACTGATATCACTTTATTTATATAGAAAGTCGTGCTATTAATCGGATTGTACTATTTCAACAGACATGTATAATTTAATTTTTACTTTTTTTAAGGAATATTAAAGTAACTCTTGCTATATTTCCTTCAATAGTAATGTTGATATCATTTTCAGTAAGCCAAATTAAGTGACGTTAGTCCGCCGATTGGGGTCAGTATAAGGATAATTAAGATTCATGCAAGCACGTGACGCTTCTACCGACTTCAAGACGACTGCACGATGAAATATTCAACACGAACCGACATCTCCATTATTTGACCGATATCACATGTCGGTCAACACATGTCGGTCACAACATATCGGTTATAACTGGATGAACCGATATCTATAACATGCCACCTCAGCATTGTAAGGCGGCGACAACTCAGTATAGGTCATCATTATGTTTGTCCAAGTGGCGAGTTAACAAGAAAAGCAGCTAAGAGCCGCCTTTGACCTTTCAAAATGTAATGATTACTGTACGGATAAATGTTGTACGTAAATATAAAAGGAGAAAAATAAATCTCCAGAGAGAGAGAGAGACAGACAATAATAAGACTTTACCAAAATATTCCATCTCCTTTTACATTATGCAAGTTCTTATCGTTGAATATCGGATTTTACTCAAACTTTACTCCAATTAGACCGTTGTTAATTCCCGTTTGACAACAGTTTGGCGCTAGAAGGAGGGCGGCCTTATGTTTTTAAGTTAACTTTCGCCTATAAGCCATTTTCGCATTCAAACCCATCATGTCGCAGTCTGGTCGAGATCATGTACCTCACCCCGGCCAGAGTCAATCGACTAACCATTCTCCACGGCATACAACACCGCCACCTCCGGTCACGAATGTCACGAACTTTCTTCAAAATCCGGAGTTTATTCAAGGTTTGTCTTCATTGATAGCTCGAGCCATGCCTAGAAACTCGAGTACGATGCCGTTGTCGATGCCGTTAACTACTAACCCAACAGAACATCCAACTCATGCTCGTCATGACCATGAAACACATGTAGCGACGTCACATGCCACATCGCAGCCTCATCATACTTCTCCACGTCAAGAAAAACAGGCTCATGTAATTGCTAATCCCATAACGAACAATCAAGTCCCAGATCAACCCCCTGTGCAGGAGATGACTGCTGAAAGTCATTCTGCTCATCACCAGAGAGTTTCCCCACGTCCTAGACCCATCTCGTCAGCACCGCACGCTCACGAATTTACGACGCCAAATTGAACGGAATCGTCTTTCAAGGCATAGTGCAGAAGAAATTGAAACTCTCCGTAAACGTTTGGCTGAACTTGAAACGCGACAGAAGTCACAAGAAGATTCACCCCGACATGTCACGACGTCGGGAAATGTTGTTGTCGAGGTGGATTCTCCTTTAGCCCCCGAACTTACTGCGGAGCCACTCCTTGTGAAGGTGAAAATCCCGCAAATCGGCATGTATGATGGGACGTCGGATCCAGATGCACACTTAGGCCATTATACGTCTTGGATGGATTTACATGGGGCTTCAGATGCTTTGAGGTGTCGGATGTTTTCGCTTACACTGGGGCCACGAGCCCAAAAATGGTATTACACTCTCCCACCTCATTCAATTTGGAAATGGCAGCAGTTACGTGCGGCTTTCCGGTCACACTTTATCGGTGCTCAAATTTGTCTCATTCCGAAAGAGTCGATTACCAACATCGTGCAAAAGGACGACGAGACTGTTAAAGATTACGTGGCTCGGTTCAACGACCGAATTCAGAATATAGAGCCCTGTCATCCTGAAACTTTGTTAGTAACTGCTATTGCTGGATTGAAGCCCAACTCAATGTTTCGTTGGACCTTATGTCAAAATAAGCCTGCTACATTTCAAGAGTTTCTTGTACGAGCTCAACAATTCATTATTGCCGAAGAATCCATGTCGGTCCCCAGTTTCGACTTCTCGGTAAAAGAAAGCAAGGCTGAACCAGATGCTAAAAAGAAAAACAAGAAGGGCTTTGGGAAAGCACAATTTCGGAACTCCTCTAAAGGATATGAAAATACTCCAGAGTCTCGGGCTACTCGTGATCAATATTCGGACAATGTCAGGACAGGTTATCATGCCGTTTATTCCGATGGAGCAGCCACCATATACGAGGAACTGAAAGGAAAGGGAATTATCCCAGACCCGAGGCCTGTGAGAACTCCTGAAGACAAGTTGGATAAAACTCGGTACTGCGCATACCATAAGTCTCCAGGGCACAATACCGATGACTGTCTCGGTCTTTTGTCGGCACTCATACGTTTAATCGGACAACCCCAGCTTCAAAAGTTTCGAAATTTTGATAACCGCCGGAGAGGAAGGCCCTTGGATCTTTCAGACGACGAAGATGAAGACAACCGACCTGCTAACCAGAAGAGAGTTCGTGCAAACGATAAGGAAGTTTTTACGTTTTCTACTCATGTCGGAACTTCGACCAACAACCACAGGAAACCTAAGATACATGATCCCGCAGATCTTTCACATTGCATACCTCGAGTCAACTCCAATAACAAACAGTTAGATACGTCTCGACGGAAAGTCAAAGCTTATGCTCGAGAGGCTCAGAATGCCGAGAAACGAGTCATGAATGTTGATCTCCGAGATACCATCAACAAACGGAATTTCCCTATTACGTTCAGTATTGAAGACGCTAACTTGTTTGCTCATCCTCATTCTGATGCTCTTATTATAACCGCCCCGATTGGGGGAATTCCTGTTCATCGGATCTTGGTCGACACAGGAGCGTATTCAAGTATCTTAATGCTCCGTACTTTCAAGAAATTGGGTTTGGACCCAGCAGACATTAGACCGTGTAACGATCAGATTCAAGGTTTCAACGGAAGCATTTCTTGCCCCGTTGGCGAAATATTGCTCCCCATTCGATTTGGAGGCTTTGGACCGAAGTCTAAGATCATTATGGAAACTTTTAAAGTCTTGGATGTCCAAAACGAATATAATGCTGTAATAGGGCGAACTGCACTTTATAAACTTCATGCTGCTGTGTCAATTTTTCATTACGCCCTGAAGTTTCCTACCATTGAAGGAGAAGACACTCATTATGGAGATCAACGAGAAGCCCGAAGTCTGATGTTGCTCTCAACCTTGCGTAGCCTTCATATGATGAGAAAACAAGATGCTGATGACTCCGTTGAGCCAAGTAATTCAACTCCTGATGTTGAAAGAACCGATCAGTTCACCCCGGATACCAACATGCCTCAAGCAGAGATCAACTTGCCGCTTGTCGATACCGACGTCCCTATGACGTCGGTCTTGCCTGAAACATCAACTAAAATCCCCGATCAAAAACAACCTTTTCATGAAAAAGACATAGAAATGCATGAGGATATAAACCCAAGGATGCAGTTCAAAGATGGAAGTCATCATGTCCGAGCAGAACCTGTTGAAGTATCGAGATCATTTACGTGGACGGGTCAGATCAGCATAAATCGCTGCGTATTGGGGCCAACCTGCAAGAACCCATTCGGTCAAATTTGATTCAATTCCTCCAGTCAAACACTGATGTATTCGCTTGGAAGCATGAAGACATGAAAGGGATCGACCCACAGAAGGCATGCCATCCTCTCAATTTGGACAAAACTGTTAAACCTGTTATTCAGAAACGTCGGAAATTTGGCC